TAATGGAGGTTTCAGTGACATACCGGGTTCGTTTCGGTGAGCCGATATAGATACGGACATGTACATAACTGTCTCGAAGTGTATCACCTATTAGCAAGGTGGAAAATTGATACTTGGCTATCAATGGAGGATTTAGCCACTTCCTATATCAAAATGGGAGTAGGACTAATTAGGAGTGGATGGATGGGCGAAATTACCGCCATTGGCTGGAATTTTAGTTCCATATGGATTAAGAGTAATGGATAGAGCATGTTCGCTTGTGGACACTAATTCTGGTAGTGTTTACTTTAGCATTTTGTATCAGTTCTACATTGCACTGGTAATGGAGTTATAGCATGTGGTTATTTTTTATAGTAGATAAACAGTGCTATATCAAAGGAATTTTTCTACAGGTGTGAGAGCAACGATTTTGTTTCGCATCTCTAGACGAGAGGTTTGGTCGAGATATTATCTTTGATCATGGAGGATATGCTTAGGACATATATCCTAGGTTTATGTAAGGATACATCAGGGAGAAATACTCTCTTTTGTTGAGGATTACGCGCAGTTTGAAGGTGACAGTTGGATTTTGGACTTAGTTGAACTCGTGTATCCAAGTTTTCTATCAGGAAATGGTTGGTTGGGATGTCTTCCATATAGGAAGCAATGTGTTTTGGAGGAAGGTCAGTTTTACGTATTGCACTGACTTTTCACGGATTTTGTTAATCGAGTTAGGCAATCGCCTATACTATAGCGCTACCAACTTGTTAAGCGCTACGTGCATAGGAATGTTGTGCGTATATTCTATGGCACCTGGAGGACTATGGATTGGTACCCTGGTATAGATATTCGGTATGGATGAATGGTTGTGTGACACAACTTAGGTGTAGTTTTGGTGTTTCTTAAATCACGGAACCATAATTTTTCTATAAGGATTTGGAATTAAGTGGAGCCCATACACAGAGGAAAAGTCCACAACGGAATGGAAATGGATTTACAATCAAAGAATTTAGAATTTCGTGAATTCCGAGGACGGAATTCCGTTTGTTAGGGGAGAAGAATGTAATACCCCTATTTTTCAAAAGGGATATAATTGAAATTTAATTGTTTATTTTATGTACATTTTAATTGATTAATTGATTATTTGTTTTCTGTGCATTTAAATGTGATTATCTGGCTATGTGTTTAATTGTAATTGTGGTTTACTTTATTATTTCCTTAATTGACTAAATGTGAATTTATTTAAATTAATTTTTTTAATTATAATTGTTTATTTATTTTTTTCATTTAATGGTTTAATGCTTGATAGAATTATGTTGTAATTTGTTTATTTAATTTCTTTGATTTATTTACCTTTTAGGATTAGGGTTTTCTTTTATGTAATTAGGTTAGCCAACTTGTAAATGTGTATTGGAGTTAGACGTAGGTTTAATAAAAACCTATATATAGAACAATATATGTCTGCAAGGGTTTGAGAACCCTTTTTCCCGTAACTAGAGGAAGAGAGAAACATAGAGGGTTGAGGGGAAAAACACAGAGGGAAACTAAGAAAACCAATTAGGCTTTCAGCTATGGACTGAAGGTGTACCAAGGAGGAAGGGATGGATGGCTTGTGGGATTGAAACCAAGCAGTAGGAGATTTACCGGTGGTCGGCAATCGTCGAAAAATATAGAGACGACGTTGAAAGGTTTCAAACCAAAACCTTAAGGCAGGTTTCATTCTATCTCCTTCCTATAAACTTGTGTTCTATGCATTCTATATGGACTCCAGAAATCTAATTAAACTTTTAAAATGAACGTCTATGTATGTTAGATTAGGCTGTAATCTATTTTATGTTCTTGTAACTGAAACTATTGTTCTTGCATAACTGTTAGGGCATGATTTAAGTTTTTTGTCAATTAATTCACACTGAAATATGAGGAGTTTCTAGGACTATAAGAATTTAAATTGAACCATAGGAATGTTAAAAGGATTTGGGACAGGGGCGTTGAACTTCACCGGAAGCGTAGAAGACAACCGAACGAAGTGAAGACAAAGCAGAGGGGCTCTCAGGGAGAGAAGTGGCTCCCTAATGGAGGGAGCCAGCTCCCATGAAGAGAAAGCCAGCTTTCCATGAGGGAGAGCAAGCTCCCATGAAGGGGGAGCCAGCTCCCTTGTAAAAATACCCCTATGGGGTGTTTTACAGTTTTTTTTTTGGGATTGCAGGGACTTAAATGTGAATATTGGAAAGTAAAGGGGGTTTTAAATGTGTAAAAATTAACCTATTAAAACCTTTAAACAGTTGGTTTACGCTAGGGTGCTAATCCTAAAGGGCATCATGAAACATATACATATAATCGGCAAGCTGTTAAGGAAGAAGGAAGGTTTAAATTGCTAGGTTGTTTTAGCAACTTAAACGGACTGGTATTAAATTATTTTTGGGATGTTATATAAATGATATATATAATATAATAAAATCCAGAGAGGTTGGTTTAGGATGTGGTTATAGACATCATGAACTTTAGGTGTTTATTTACATGCTGTCAGGAATTGAGGAGATTTTACTTGCTGGTTTTGTTTTAACCAGTTTGAATGGATCAGTATAAAATACCGTGGGGGTTTTATATAATGTGCAGTTTAGACTTCTGAGTGTCATTATGCCTTGCACAGTTTTTATAGTTAAGGAATAAATGGACGGCGTGAGATTTAAATAGAAATTTGCATGCCATCAAGGATGGAGGAGGATTTGGTTGCTGGTTTTAATTTGGCAAATTAAATTGATTAGTATGAAATTATTTTTGTAATTATAGTATAATGATCTCAGTTATAATTCTAAAAATCATTATACCATGCTATGGATGTTAATTGATGAACTGTTTTAATTTCTGTTCGGTCAATTATGCGGATATGGATGGTTTGAATTGTTTATTATTACTTAGCAATTTAAACGGAAGTTTTATAATTATAATCATATACTGGATGCATAATAGGATCTTATCTATATCTGATTTCTATTATGTTGGTTTCTGGATATACTTGATGTTCATTTGAGTGTGCATCATTTATGGATCATTTGCATTATATGCACCGGTATGGGACGGTGGCATATGAGGAAGGAATTAGATCAAAGTACTTATCCTTACCTACTCATACATACCGAATGGATTAACTAAAATAGTTAAATTCTATATGGATGCATGTCCTGTCAACTTAAACAGTTAAACGACATATCGGATGGTTGGTTTATTTTCTCTATTAGGAAGAATTTATATATATATTTATGGTACCGTGATACGAGCTTGAGTCTCCTGATCACGGTTAGGGTGCATATATCACCTTTGATGGATAACTGGACCTAATGATGTTCCCTGGTAGGTCTAAGTGTGCATGACTACGCTACGTGCGTTTTACGTGTTACCTTCTACTCAGGTGTGATGACTATAGGTTAGTGAGCGTCCTATAGTGTGTATCTATATCTATATGGACTATTTTAGTTATTGTCGAGCTATCTAGGATGTATCTGCGTATCGGGTTTATGTATGGAATGTAGTAGGATGGAACTTGCATGTGGACCTGACCCATTATTATTTTTCTGGTATTCGTCAGTACTAGGCTTAGAGCTAGATCGTGATGAAGCAGATACAGACACTCACTCTTTTGACTACATAGGATTTACTTTCTTATTTTAGCGTTGGATTTTGGTTTTGTAATTATTTTCATTTGGGATTAGGGGTCCACTAGCTGGATTCCTGAGTTGTACGGATTAGAAAATATTAAATTATATTAATGTATATTCTTTTGAGGATTTTTTCATTTAGAATTCTTTTCAGCTTATTATTTTACCTTTTAATTCTTTTGTATTCCTGCTTGTTTACATATTAATTGTCTGGTATCCCTCGGATCTATGCTCGGACTTGATCACCCGTGACTCTAGAATCGAGGGGTATCACATCATTTGAGGACAGTGGTCCAGATCCTTAGGGATAATCGGTTGTACGCCAAGTTCGAGAAATGCAAATTTTGGCTACCGAAAGTGAAATTCCTTGGACATGTTGTATCAGGGGGCGGAGTTGCAGTGGATCCATCAAAGATCGAATTGGTGATGGATTAGGAACGTCCGAAGATAGTGTTTGAGATTCGGAGTTTTCTTGGCCTATTTGGCTATTACTGGAGATTTGTTCAGGATTTCTCTCGTCTAGCGGCACCTATGACTCGACTTACCCGCAAGGGGGTCAAGTTCGTATGGAACGAGGCATGTGAGTTTGCTTTTCAGGAGTTGAAGGTCAGGTTGACATCGGCTCCAGTTTTGATCATTCCTGAATGTCGTTTGGGGTATGTGATCTTCTGTGATGCTTTACGGGAAGGTTTGGGTTGTGTTTTGATGCAGACAGAGCAGATGGTTAGTTATGGGTCTCGACAGTTAAAGACTCGCGAGTTGAACTATCCGACACATGATTTGGAGTTGGCAGCAATTATCTTTGCCCCGAAGGGTTGGAGACACTATTTGTTCGGGGAGAAGTTTGAGGTTTTCTCCGATCACAAGAGTCTTAAGTATCTCTTCTCTCAGAAGGATTTAAACTTAAGACAGCGCAGATGGGTTAAGTTCATGGTGGATTACGACTTTGAATTACAGTACCATCCGGGTAAGGCCAATATGGTGGCCGATGCATTGAGTAGGAAATCGTGGGGGACTCTTCCTAGCATTTCCATTCACAGATGGAGGATGCTAGAAGAGCTTGCAGATCTTGGTTTACAGTATTATGAGGATGTTTCACCGTCTATTTTATTTAGCCTTGCGGCTCAAACGGCCCTTGTTAGTAGAGTTATTGAGGCAGAGTTGGAGGATGGGGAGATGAAGGCCATCCATGTTTAGATTTCAAGCAGCGAGGATATAAAGGGTTAGACCTTACATTCAGATGGTGGTCTCAGGTATAAAGGGATGATGTTTATTCCTTTGTCTTGTCGTGAAAACGTCCATCGGGATTTTCACCTCTCGGCTCGCAGTTTATCCAGGTGGTACAAAGATATATCACAATCTACGATGACAGTTTTGGTGGCAAGGAATGAAACTAAGTGTTTCATAATTTGTGGCTCGATGCCTTACTTGTCAGCAAGTGAAGGCGGAGCATTAACAACTGACAGGACTATTGCAACCATTACCAGTAGCTGAGTGAAATTGGAGCATATCACTATGGATTTCGTAGCGGGACTTCCAAGGTCACAGGAAGGGAATGACGCCATTTGGGTCATAATTGACAGGTTAAATAAGACAGCCCACTTCTTGCCCATGGCAGTGACTGACAGTGCAGAGAGACTGAGTGGACTATATGTGAGGCAGATTGTCAAGCTTCACGGGGTTCCTGTATCCATTGTTTCAGATAGGGATCCACGGTTCACATCTCACTTTTGGCAGGGCTTTCAAGAGGCTCTTGATACAGGGCTTCATTTCAGCACGGCATTCCATCCTCAGACTGAAGGTTAGTCGGAATGTACCATTCAGATATTGGAGGATATGTTACGGGCTTGCATCTTGGATTTCGGGGGTAGTTGGGAGGACTACTTGCCTTTGGTTGAGTTTGCCTACAATAACAGTTACCAGGCCAGTATTGATAAGCGCCGAATATTGTATATTCAAGCGCCCTTAATTGCATTATTTAAGTCCATTGTTCATTTAATTATGTAGATTACTTTCATTTGTATGTTTTTGTGCATTTTTAGGTTCAATTGCAATAAAGGAGCAAGAAGGGTGTTTTGTAGAGTTTTTGAATATCAAGGTGCCAATTCTGAAATTCTGGCAGCAGTGAAGCCCAAACTTTGTTCACCATTTTGACCTACCAAACTCGAGAACTGGACTTCCCTCTTAACATGAAAGATTTAGAGCTCTTAATCAGCTTTCCAAATCTTCAAGCGGTTTTCCATTCGGAGTTTGGAGCAGAGAGTTATGATCTTCTTATTAGAGGTACTCAGAACTGCCTGGCCGCAATGAGTTTCTGCCTTGCTCTTCAATTTCGACCAACCAGACTTGAGAATTGGATCTTTACCAAAACATAAAGTTTTTAGATCTCTGAATTATCTTTCCAAATATTCAAATGGTTTATCATTCGGAGTTCGGAGCACAAAGTTATGGCTATTTTATCAAAGTAGGTCCGGGCGAAGCAAAGCAAGCATGGAGCAATCTGCTCCATTTTCGAGTGCTCGAGGCCCTATTTCGAGTACTCAAAATTCAGGCAGATTGCACTTTGGAAATGGCTCATTTCAGCCACTTGTGCATTGGGTTCCTCATTTTCTACTTACCTTCTTTATGGAGTGGTTGGAAATGTTTTTTGGAGGGAAGAGAGAGAGCCTTGGTTGGGGTCTTGATCTAGATAAGAGGGAAGCAAAGCCACACAAGGGGGGAGGATTCATTTTTGAGAAGATAGAGGAGAGAGAAGAGAGCAAGAAAGAGGAGTTCTTCAAGCCAACACAAGGGAGCACGAAAATGGACTTGGAGGCCTTGCTTCCTCCTTCATCTAGAGCTACCATGGGTAACTAAACCTCTTCTTAGGGAGTTGATGTAACCCTTGTCAAGTAAATATGTATTAATTGTGTTTATATTTGGGGAACTTTGCATTTATGTAACAAGTTGTCTAATCTAGAGATACACTTTGATGTATTTGTGTTTCATTCCATATTTAATCTTGTAGAGACTCTTATCTTGTCTTAGAAATTGTTTCTTCATGATTATGCTACTTACATCTTTATAGTGAGAATGAAGATGAGATTATACAATGGTTTTAATGGCATGTTGTTTAAGAAATTTGATATTCCATGGCTTAGGGAAACCTTTGATGGATTATGGCTTAGTTCTTCACTTCATGTGCACTTACCACACAAATTGAGGACTTTGATAGTTCATAGCTTAGGAAGGATACTTCATTCTATACCCTAGTTTAGATAGATGACTTATGCTAACCTTGGATGGATTATACTTAATTCTTGAATGTGTGAACTTCTTGAAGATATTATAGTTGTCTTGCATTTCTACATATCATGGTTACATGTATACTTTGTTCCCCAAGTTAATTGCAATTAGGCATGTTTATATGGCTTGTGGTGAAGTCAATTCCCTAGTCTCTTCTCTATTGTTCTATCTCTTTACTTCCTAGCACATCATTGTTTTATGCACTTTGAATTCCTAGTTTAGTGACTATCAAACAAACTCTTATTACACCTTATCATTCTAAGAACAATTCTAGACTCTTAGGTTGCCATAGACTAGCGCAGTCCCAGTGGTTCGACTTACCCGACCAATAGCCCTATTTTATAATGATTCGTGCTATTGCGAAGGTTGATGTATAGTTGATCAACCGATCAAGTATTGGCATGGCACCTTTTGAGGCGTTGTATGGCAGACCTTGCAGATCTCCAGTTTATTGGATCGAGGTCGGTGATACCATTGCCTTGGGTCCTGACATTGTCATTGAGACTACAGAGAAAATCAAGTTAATTCGGCAGCGGTTGGCTACCGCACAGAGCAGACAGAAGAGTTATGCTGATAGGAGGAGGCGATCATTGTCTTTTGAGGTAGGGGACCATGTCTTTCTTAAGATTTCTCCGCGCTAGGGGCTTTTGAGATTTCGACAAACTAGCAAGTTGTCTCCTAGATTCATTGGACCATTTGTGATTTTAGAGCGTGTCGGTGAGGTTGCTTATCGTTTGGCATTGCCGCCAGACTTGGATAGGGTTCACAATGTCTTTCATGTCTCCATGTTGAGGAAGTACAAGCCGGACCCATCGCATGTTCTGCGGTGGACTGATGTGGTTGTTGATGAGGATGTAACCTACGAGGAAGGTCCAGTTCAAATTCTTTATTCATGGGAACAAGTCTTGCGGACCAAGACCATTCCATTGGTTAAGGTCTTATGGAGACACCACAGCATTGAGGAGGCTACCTGGGAGCTTGAGCAGGAGATTCGCTCCCGGTATCCCCATTTGTTCTCTCTTTCAAGTACGGCTTGATTTTGGGGACGAAATCCCTTTAAGGTGGGGAGGTTGTAAAGACTCGGTCTTTTCCCTCTTTTCTTTTTTTCGGCAATTTTCTTTTTTTTTTTATTTTCATCTTTTCCTGTTTATCGTTTTCGTTGCATAACCTCACTTTTTGTGCTCAGATTTGATTCCGGCTTTGCATGCATCCATGATATTTAATTTCTTTGATATCTACATTTTTACTTTTGTATAAAAGCATGCTAAATGTTTACTTTTCTTATAAAGGGCATAGATGTATAACTTTTGGTTATTTTCTTAAACTTTTGGGGTTTTAGTGTAATTATGCAAAGTAATTATTTTTCGTCTTAGGGACCATTTTACAAATTAATTTGGAAGATATTTTCAAAAAGGACATTTTTGCAATTACCGAAAAATATGACAAGTGTCACATTCTCATGGTGCCACTTGTTGGCATTGGGGTAGGGAGACTTGCAGGCATAATTTCTTGACACATGGGGGTGGAGATTCACCCATTTGTTCGCCTAGGATTGGACCACTTGCTGGCCTAGATGGTTGACAAGTGTAGGCTTAGGATTTAATCTAGGAAGCTTGCTTAGATTCATGACAAGTGTAGGACTCACCTTTAGTCTTGCAAGTGTGTGTGTGAGAGGTAGTGCAAGAGCACCTAGTGAGTGAAGAATCCCACCAAATTTAACTTAGGGTTTTCATTTCATTTTTCATTTTCATCTCCTTCCTCTCAAGAACCCTATCCTAGCCACCATTGAAGACAAGCTTGGTTCAAGGCTTTGACTTCATTTTTGACCACCCTCCACTCACCTTAGATCATTGAGCTTGGAATACAAAAGCCTTGCCTCATCTTCCTCTTCATAACCCTAAGAGGAAAACTTGAAATTCCTTTGCTTTCCTAGGATTCAAGAGGAACAATCCTCTTATGAGGTAGAGAGTGTTCTAAGTTATGTCTTTGATGTTTTATATGTTTTAGTATCTTGATACAAATGGAATACATGTCTCTAATCTAAATCTTTAAATTGATAGTCAATGATACCTTGCATGACATTAAGCTAAGACATGATTTTTGGAAGGGCCATAACTTGATTCATAACTTGTGTTAATTTGAAGTCATTCAAGGTTGTTTTGAAATCTAGAGGAATTAGTTAATTAATTTAATTAATTTTCATTATTATGTTCTTATGATTTAAATCAAGTTTTGAAGTTAGTTATGTAATAACCATGATAGATACTACAACATATATTAAATCGAGCATGTTTGGATGAGAAATGAAATCTAGAGAAATTAGTTGTCTTAATTAATTAATTTATATCCTTGTTGTGTTAGTGAAGGAGTATGTATCTTATGTTGATTCCATGTTTAAATTATGATTTTAAACTTATATCATACTTGTGAGACTATGTTCTTGTTGTTGAATGATATTGTTATAAAGAGGAACAAATTGTATAATGATTATTCGCATTCTTCATGCCATTGTAGTTGTGAACTTAGGGCATGTATTACGTCTCCAAAATTGGTTTGTGTATGGTAGATGGCTTTACATTATGTATATATATGTGATGTTAATATATATATATGTTGCTGCACAAGTTGTTGATTTTGGAAACTTAGGATATCGTTGTTATGGCTAAGGCTAGGGCATGGTTCTAGTACGGGGGGTTGTCCCTCTACAAGTCTAGTGCGCACATAGGGAGGTTACCCATGGGTTAGTAACCCTAAAGTAACTATGGTGTTGGTTTGATCCAGCATGATGTCCAAGTATCCACTTTGGTTTGATTTTGCATTTTAAATTCCAAATTTGATAACTATGTGATATTGCATCTCATTGTGCCATGTGAAAAGTTCCAATGTCATTTTAATAGCATGGACTAAACTTTATTGAGTTGCAAACTATGTAATAAGTTAAACTTATGTATACACATTCCCTACGAGTAAACTTGTTTACTCACCCCGAAGTTACTGGGTGTTTTTCAGATAAAGAAGCATTATTGTGGGATGCTCAACACTCTTAGGATTGCTTGACTACTTAGAATATTTTTGTATATTAGAATATGCACTTGTTAGCATATCATGCTCCATTCTTGTTTATTTTGACAAAACATGTATTTAATGTTCAAACTATGTAATGTGCACTTAAGTGCACCTTTTGATACTCCCTAGTTGTGTATGTAGGGAGGCCAAGGGCCAAAGATACTTATATGCTATGTATGCTACTTTATTTTCATAGTTTGTTTATGAAATTTAAGGGATTTCATGCATTGAAGGGTCATATTTTGCATATGACATGCCATGAGGCCGTAAGCCATTGTAACGCGTCTATTTTTGCATTTAACGTATGCGTACATGGTTACATTTCACAAAACTCTTAAGTTCCAAATTTTGAACTATTTATGGAGGATTTATGAAACAATTAAAGCAAAATCCATGCATTAAGATTTGATTCAAAGCTCCATTTTGATTTAGCATGACTTAGATGCTTGCATGAGGTTAGGGAGTGTTTTGAAGCTTGTTTGGATCACTTAGGATGCATGTATAACCTTAGAACCAAGCTAAGCACCTTCCTATGGGTGACAGCAGCTTTTTCTACTGCTAACAGGTCCATCGGTCGGCTGATAGCAATCATCGGTCAACCGATATGTCTTAAAAATGAGATCCCGAGAGTTTGCATTTGAAAAAGGGCATTTCGGTTGGCTGGTACTATACATCAGCCTACTGATGATGGAGTTTCGGCCGGCTGGTACTATTCCGTCAGCCTGCTGATCCTCCCTGAAGCTTGGTTTCCTTTCAGCTTCTTGGACAGATTTCTTGGGTCAACTTCAGAGGGCCATATCTCCTTCGTTTCTGATCCAAATCAAGTCATTCTTAAGCCTAAACTCAAGAGATTGAAGTTAGATTTCCAATGATACCAACCACACTCAAAAACTCTAACCATAGTGAGAGTTATACCAGTTTTAGTATGATAGGGTCATGTTGTCTCTTAAACGGAGGATGCCTCTTCGTTCTATTTTCATATTTTTTCCGTCCGAACTCCAAATCAGGTGATTCTTGAGTCTAAATTCATTAATTTTTCATTGTATTTACAATGGAGTGCTTGGCAGCACCCACTTCCATATTGGAAAAAGACCATTTTTTCCCTAGGTTCATTCTTGTCCGTTTTTGAGACGTCATTTCCGCATTCATTTTCATTGGGTTTCGTGACCTCATTGAGGATCACATTAGTGTTTTATAAATGTGTAGTATTCCTAGAGACCATTGTTACACCCTTTGCTTTTGCATTTTGGACTCATCATTGGATTTATATTAGGTTTATCTTAAGACGCACTGGCCTTAAAACCAGAGCCGTCAAAATGTGTGTATATATATATATACATATATATGTATAAAAGGTTTTTTTATGCTCGGTAAAATATTGTTTCTAAAAATTTATTTTTTTTCAATTAAGTGACGTGGTACAAGGAGGAACACATGTTCCCCACCAGCTAGCACTGGCTCTCCTGTAGCGTAGGAGAAGATTTTGTTCCCAAAATGTTGGGAATTTGCACGTAAATATATTAAGAGTGATGTGTCAAATTTTATTCACAGAATGGATAGTACATCAGGGAACAACAGATCAATACAAATACATAATGATTTCAATAAAATGAATAATACATCAAAGAATAATATATCAACATGAATTAATAAAACTTTCATTAACATGAATAATACGTCAAATTGAATATCATGGATAGAACAATGAATCAAATAATTTTAACCTAATAGAAATAATATCAACAATAGAAATTAAGATAGGAAAACAATGATAATAAAATACTATGAAAGAACTGGTCTAGATATTGAGAGGCATGCGAGCACTGTCCTAAAGTTGTAAAGTTGTTTAGCCTCCCTACGTGTAGGTGATAATGGTCTAATATGACTCCAAGATATGACACATATCCACCAATGGTCTTCTGCAGGTACGTCCAAAGTGTACTTGCCTTGTCTTCAAAGTTGCTCCAAAAATAATATAAAATACTCTCTCTTAAGTATAGTAGTATCTCAACAAAACTCAAGGAGGAGGGAGATAGAATGATTTTTCATAAAGATACTTCTCACACCCACATTGTCACACTTAAGTATATCATCTTATAAAATGATAGAAAACTCCCTTTTATAAAGTTAAAACTTGTAACGTTTATGTATCATAAACATAGAATTAAGTGTGAAGTAATAATAAGATAAACAAAATAATTATCACAATAATAATAATAATTTAATGATAATTGTGATTTTTATAAAATAGTAGTAACACAAAATGTGTTAATCAATACTAAGAATTAGTGAAACTTATAGTAAGTATAAACCTAACCTTTGATATTACTTGCATAAAATATGTATGGCTTAATTAAACCCACATTATCGGTAAATATTCTCAAACTCTATTACTACGATAAAGTATCTCTAGGCTCTTAAACTTTACAATTTAGTTTTCTATTACTAAAATAAATAAAATGATGACATCCCGATGCTTCGTTTGGTTAGAGGACTGGAAAAATAGATGGAAAAAATAGGGGGAGGGATGGATGAGGCATCCTAGGGAAGAGACTATGTCACCCCCAATTTTTGTTTGGTTGAATGAAATGGATAGTAGAAAGGATGGATGTGATGATACTTTTTTGTTTGGTTGGAAAGAAGGGAAATAGAATTTTTATATTCTTTTTACCAATATAGGACTTTATAAAATTATAAAAGGTAGATATCTATTTTAATTTTTTTTTAATTTTGAACTTGGCAATTAATATTTGTGGGTAGTTATTAATTTTTACTCTCCTCTCATCTCCCCAAAATTGGGCGGATAAAAAAACATAAAGAAATGAGGGATGAATCATCCCTCCTTAGTTCTTCTTTCTCTTCCCTTTCCTCTTACCAAACACAAAAAACTTCATCCATCCCTCCTCAATCATTCACTCATCAATCATTCCCTCCAACTAAACATAGCATAAGAGATAGAGACCTTCATTAT